TCACTTATCTTTAAGCATATGAGCATTCTCCGTGCTTATCTGCTTGCCAATATTCAGATTTTAGGAGCTATTCTGTGCCAGAGCCCATGTAATAAGAAGTACACAGAACTGAACCCACAGCCTGTGAAAACACTGAATTTGGATTTATACAAGACTGCCTAACTTATGTATTCCTCATGAATGAGGGTATTAAACGGAGAGTGATTTAATCCATGCAATACAGTAAATTTATCTCAAAACCAAGACTGACAAACCAGCCATCCAAGTACCAGTGCTGTGTGGCTTCACAGCTGGCCCCAGGACTCCGTCCTGGAAACACAGTCCATCAGCATGAACTTCACCGTGTGCCTTTTCAATAACCAGTGAGACCTGAGGTTCATTGGATTAAATAGTCCTGTGTACGTTAATACAGGATGTTTAATATGAAGTCTGTAGCTTTTAAGTAGGTCCACTGGGTGCCAAGTCAGATGAAGTCAGGAGTCTGATTGCTGCAACACTGCTGTAATAACTACGTTTATATTCCTTTGCCGGAAGAAAATGAAAGTGAGAATAGGGGTGAGAAGTCTCTGTATTGTTTTTGCAAAGAGATTGGAGAATAAGATCTAATTGTGAATTGAGATGAATTTTCAATGGCAATCTAGGAGATCCACAGCAATGTGAGGTCACGTGCAGGTCTCCTTTTCACAGTGGCAGGAATTCACTGTCCTTTGGGATAAAGGAGTGAACGCGCTTTGGGAGCAAGTCACCGGGCACAATGTCGCTGTCCTTCTGACCTTTCTTTTGTAAAAGGTTAGTGGGCTTTTGTAAGCATGTTACTAACAGCAGAGAAAGAAAGCAGAAAGTTGTATCTGGTCTGGGCTCCTCACTCCAAAAAGTAGGTATTAGTCTCTTAAAAATTGTTTTGTTGACTTCAATTCAGAGGAATGAAGTAATAAAATGCTGACAGATCATGAATAAACTGTTATCTCATAGCAGGGGCTAATAGAGTACTTCGGTAATGATTTGGCATCAAGGAAGCTATTCCTAAGAGGCATGGAGTTTAGAAAAACATTTAGGATTCCAGAAAAAAGTAACAAATCTCCTTTCACAGGTTATGGGATAATTTCCCCTAAAAGGACCTAAGGTCTTTTTTGCCCCCTAAGGGAAGAAAAAAGCACATTCAAAAACCTAAAGTTGATCTTTGAATTAAACTAGTGTGTATCATTCTAACATAGAACATACCATTTTAATTGAAAATAAATCAATTAAACTAAGAAAGTCAGGAGAAGGAAATTACCTTTTTTTTTTTTTCTTTCCCAAACAGTTACCACTTAGACAACTCCATTAGAAAATGTGTATTTTGGATCATTTCTAGGTTTGTCTAATCCTAAAACAACTAACCAAATTGAAACAAAAAAAGATATTTTTTCAATATGCACATCAAAGTCTACAAAGAGAAGTACTTTTGCATCCACCAAATTGTTAGATGACCAAAGGACTTAC